TGCTGTTGCTGCTGCTGCTATTTTTGTATCTTATATAGTAAACCTCTGTTATTTAGACTTGAACTGACAGGTAATTTTTTCAGGAAAGATTATTTCCTTTACCAGAAATGCTTGCCTCTGCAGAAATTCCTCCACCGTTTCCATTTAATGTCGTATCACATTAATGCAGTTTTTTTATAGCATTATTCACATATTTTTTTCAGACTGCCAGACAGTGCCAGCTGTGTTCTGAGTAACATCCCTGCTGGTCTCACTGCCATCATTCCTCCTAACTGTTTTCCTGAGGAAAGATTTTATTTTGTAAGGCCCAGCCAATCAGCTACTGGAATTCTGTGATGTCAAGAGCCTGAATAATTTATCCAAGGATTGGGACACCCTATGTGAAGTGCTGACAACCTAAAGCAGCAGGCTGTGTGGCTGTAAAAAAGCAATTCAATCTTCTCCCCAAAACTTTGACAGTAATATAATATACAATAAACATAAAAATGCTGAATAAAATATTCTGGTTATTGCTTGACATGGAAATACGTGTGTTGCTTTTAAAAACAATCACTTGGATTCACCATATTATGCTGTATGTTTACACATGGATGATCTTGTATCTAACATAATGAACTGGAAGATATAATGAGTAATGAATGTAAAAAGACATATAGGCCAGTTAGCTTTTAATAATGTATTAGAACTATTTCATAGTGATTATGAAATATATATAGTGATGCACAGAATTCTGTGGTGTTTTGGAGGAAGTATTTCACATTCTAAAAAATGTGAAATATTCAGTATTTCCTAGTCCATAAATCAGAGGTGTATGGGTTTGAATTACACTTTGTTTTCCTGTGCTAAAATAAGTAATTATTCTCAATAAGATGTAGAGCACAGGTAAATGTGATGAGCATTTTGTTGACTTTAGCAGTAGAAGAGCACATAATTATGAAGAGAGAAACATCTGTCCACTTTGTGTGTGCTGTTTATTGTCACATATCTTACATGTACAGGTTTTCTAAATTCATTTTAATAAATAAAATTTGGAGATTCAAATTCTGCCTGCAGTTATATCAGTGTAAGCCCTATGAATTTATGCAGATATGGCTAAAGGAAGAATTTAGGCCTGGATTTTTTTTTTTTTAAGAATACCTTTTATCTTTATTTGATTGGAAGTATTTACATAGTTTTACAAGTCTTTTGCCCCCGATGCATCTCTAACAAATGATTTTTTCAGGGAGTTCAGAAATAAGCAAAAACAACAGTAACTGACTATTATTGTTTACAATAACTATGGATAAGAGTCTACAAAAGATGAACAAAATAATTTTCTAATTTTAGACATTTGCAAATATGTTGCAGAGATCTTCAAGAGCAATGTGTATACTTTAATGATCAGTGGACTACGCCATTCAGTTATCAATTACTATTTTATTTTAATCAGCATGGCCCCTACTTCTCATGCAGGCAAAAA